CCTCCTCCTCCTCCCTGGTCCTCCTCCTCTTCCTCCTGCTCCTCCTCCTCCCCCTCCTCCTCCTCCTCCTTCTCCTCCTCCTCCTCCTCCTCCTCCTCCTCCTCTACCTCCTCCTCTTCCTCCTGCTCTTCCTCACGAAAAGCAGGGGCAGCAGCAGCGGCAGGGGCTGCGCAGGAGAGTTCAGCGGGAGCCCTCGGGGCCCCACTGCCCGTCAGAGCCCAGGGGCCCTCACCCCAGAGGCCTTCCCTTCGTCGGCTGCTGGCACTTCCACAAGGGCGCCCTCGAGGGCGCGAAGTTATTCGCGCTTCGCGCTTCGGCTCCGATTCCTCCTCATCCTCCTCTTCTTCCCTGGGAGGCGGCGCGAGAGCGCGAAGTTCTTCGCATTTCGCGCAGCGCGAAGCGCGAAGTTGGGAGCCCTTGCAGAGGCCTTCCCGTCGTCGGCTGCTGGCACTTCCACAGTCGATCCAGTCTGCCCAGCGCAGAGGCTCGGTGACCCTTGCACTTTTCTCGGCTAGACGTAAGAGTGACCTTTCGCCGGAGTGACCTTTGGTGCGGGCACAGATGGGTCCCCAGATGGCGGAAAACGAAGCAGCAGCAATGGCTTGTGCGCCCAGGTTTGGTCCCCACGCGGCCCCCAAAAAGCCGCGCACCAAAGGTCACTCTTACCCAGGGTCACTCTTGCGTGTAGCCGATTCTCTCGTGCAGAGATCTTGCCAACGCCGCTGGGCGTAGCAGGTCCACACTCTACCAAGCGCAAAATTTGGTACCTGATCTGACCGCGAGCTGGTGCCGACTTCTCCGGGCCGGCTCTTACCTGAGCGCCGCGTCTGAGCCTTCAGGGAGCTCTCCCGAGCTCCAGGTCCAGCCTCCCCAGAGGCCCCTTCCGCATCCCCGGTCTCTCACGACACTCTACGACCCCAGTACCCGTCCACTAGTAGCTAACCCCAGGAAGCATTTAAGAACCGCCCCCCCCCCTTCCGGCAAATCGATAACCCTTCCGCACCCTGGAAGCGTTACCTGGCACCAGGAGCCCTCCTCCTCCTCCTCCTCATCCTCCTCCTCCTCCTCCTCTCCTCCACCCACGAACTTCCTCCTGCCCCCTCCTCCTCCTCCTCCTCCTCCTCCTCCTCCTCCTCCTCCTCCTCCTCCCGCGCCCCCCTCCTTCCCTCGGGGCCCAAGGCCTGTCAGGGCCCAAGTCACCTGGGGTTCGATTGTAGCCCAGGGGCCAGGCCTCCGCGAATTTGTTGTGTGTCCGGGTGCTAAACCTATCGTGCGGTTATTTCGGCCCCTCGGAATATCGAATAAAAATGCGGTGCTAAGATATCGCCGGGGGGGGTTCTTAAATGCTTCCTGGGGTTACTCGGGGCGAATCGAGCCCCTGTTTTGGATTACCTTGTGCCCGAGCCAAGGGCAAAGCACAGCCCAATCAGACTTCCACGTCGCAACGCGAGCTGCAATCTTGATACGGGGACACGCAGGACGAGGGACGCGGACGAGGGACGAGGTTGAAGGGATCTGCTTTGTGGTGATTCTTCATCCGTCATCCCCACGCCGTCTCTATCCTCATGCGGGCGTCGGTTGCCCGCCATTTCCACCCCAGCATGACTCAATTCAGTTTTCACGACGCTCGAATCAGCCGTACGCCTCCACCTTGATCCGAGGCACCATGCACGACGTCCCGCATCCTTATGTATTGGCCAAGCGTTGCATGTCTGATGCAAAACTGCGTCATTCTGATCCCCCTTCCCCTTGAAGTCTCTTCTCACGTCTGCTGCTGCTACAGTGGGGCCGCTGAAGAAGGAGCCCTTTTCCGTGGGGGAGGGGCTCGGTGTTCTTTGCTCGGAGGTGTTCCTCAGGTCTTCTGTGGCAAACCGAAGTCTTAACTTTGGAGAACATGGGGCCTCGTTCCTTATTTATCGACTACACGTAAGAGTGACCTTTTGCTGGAGTGACCTTTGGTGCGGGCCCAATGGGGTCCCCCGATCGCTGAGCGCGAAGCGGTAGCAGCGGCTTGTGCGCCCAGGTTTGGCCACCCCGCGTCCCCCGTCTTGCCGCGCACCAAAGGTCACCCTTACCCAGGGTCACTCTTTACGTGTAGCCGAATTTGGGGCTCCTTCTAACAGCCTTTTGTTTGACTGTGCCGCTGCTGCTCCCTGCCCCTCGGCGGGCCCCTCGCCCCGCCCCCCCCCCAGCTGCTGCAGAGTCCAGGCCGCGCGCCCCCCTGGCGAGCGGAGGGCCCCCGCTGTCCCTCAAGTGGGGCCCTGGGACACACTAGTGAATAACACACAAGTGACAGGATTCCCCATAGTTTCCCATATTTTCTGTGTGTGTGTCTTCCCCCCCTTCCCATATTTCCCCATATGTTCTGTGAATCGATGATTAATTGTGTCTGTGTGGTTGTTCCCCTCCTTAGTCCCCGCCCCGCCCCGCCCCGTCCCAGAAGCCTCGGGAGACCCGGGGCGGCCGCATGGAGCTGCTGCAGGTGGCGCCGAGCTCCCTTTGGCATCGCTCGGACGTGTGCGTTTGTTTTTCCCCGGCGAGGACCATCGAGGAGCATCTTAGATCAGTTTGCGAAATAAGAAAAGTGTATATACATATGTAGCAACACAACAACAGCAACAACAACAACAACAACAACAGCAACAGCAACAGCAACAGCAACAGCAGCAACAGCAGCAGCAACAACAACAATCACAATCAAACAAAAAACGCGAAACCGAGACATGCACGGGGAGTGGACCTCCGAGCGATGGCATGCCCGACGCCAGGGAGGCATACCCTCGGGAGAGGAGGCGAGACGGTCGGCCACCGCCGCGGGTCTGCCCGGCGGTCTTCCTCCTCCCGCCTGTCCGGAGGCCGCTCCGAGGAGCCGTTCGGGCGTGTCCCCCCCCCCCTCCCGCCCGTTCCGCCCCCCCCCTCGCGTCGGGAAAAGGTCACGACGGGGGTCGTTCTCTCGTCGTGTTCCGCCTCTGGGGGGCTCTCTCGCCGGGCCCCGGGGCCGTCAAGCAACGAGTCGGGACGGAAAGCCAGTGCCAGGGAAGGGATGGAGACTTCGGAGGGGGGGTCCTCGTCGTGACAAGATGTCAGAGTGGGAGGTCTGGGGAGGAGAAGGAAGTATGAGGAGGAGGAAAGATGACGAGGAGGAGGAGGAGGAGGAGGAGGAGGAAAGAGGAGGAGGAGGCGGAAAGAGGAGGAGGAGGAGGAGGAGGAGGAGGAGGAGGAGGATGGAGACCTCGGAGGGGGATCCACGCCGTGACAAGGTAACAAAGTCGGAGGTCTGGGGAGGAGAAGGAAAGATGAGGAGGAGGAGGAAAGAGGAGGAGGAAAGAGGAGGAGGAGGAGGAAAGAGGAGGAGGAAAGAGGAGGAGGAGGAGGAGGAAAGAGGAGGAGGAGGAGGAGGAGGAGGAGGAGGAGGAAAGAGGAGGAGGAGGAGGACCAGGGTCCACCTAGGGTGCGCCAGCGATGCTGCAGTGCGCCCTCCCGCGCCAAGGCCCGTCCTCGCAGCGTCCCGGGGAAAGTCGTCCTTCTCACCGCGGGAGCGCTGGGCACCCCATGTGCCTGCCGCTCGGGCGGAGGCCCCATGCGGAAGATCTGCACGAACGAAATGGGCACTGAAAGAATGGGTACGATGCCCAACAGCGGATCTGGTTCATTTTGAACAGGACTCGCTGTCCACGCCGCCGCGGCCTGTGTCCATTCGAGACAGAGGGCCGCCTGCCCAACAGCGGCCGCTGTCGGTTTGGGACAACATTTGCTGTTGGGCATTGTACGCATTTTTCCGGTACCCATTTCGGGCGTCCGAAAAAGAGGAATTGCCCGCATCTTTCTGGCGAGTTGGAGGGACTACCATTAAGTCGGGCGTGTCCCTCCACAGGTGGAAGATTCCAAAACAGTGAAAAATAGTTTGGGGACGATGTTTTGAGTATTTGTTTTGCCGTTTTGGGGTATTGTTTTGCGTATTGTTCATTTTTCGCCCCAAATCCGCCTGTAGGGGGACAGGCCCGACTCAAGACTACAAGAATGTAGGATCGCAGGGTTCAACGGTGTGTCCAGCGATCGCTCCGTTTTGAAGAGGAGCCGCCCCGTGCGCAAGTTGCACAAGTTTACATTCACGTATGGTTGCTGCGTTTGCAGACGCCCATCCGCTCAGTTGCTACACGTGTTCAACCTTGTGGCCGCTAAATGTTTGGAGGTCTCCAGCGAGAGCCCGATGTTGAAAAGGAGCAGTCCTTCATCTTTGCACCTGTTACATTTTGAGACGAGTGTGCGCAGTGGTACGGCGAGAGCCACTTTGGTTGAGCAACCTCCCTGCACCCGTGTAGTGCTACGCGGCGTCAAGGCGAGGGGGTGCTCAGGCGAGGGTCCCATCTAAAGAGGAGCCGCCCTCCACATCTACAACCGCCGTTTGATTTTGAGCCGAGGGTTCGCGGCGCTACGGCGAGAGCCCCGTTCGAAAACGCCTCCCCTCCATCCTTGTAAGTGCTGCAACATTTACGGACCAATGCGCGCGGCGATGAGGGGGGGAGCCCAATGTTGCACACAAGCCCTATCCATGCGCATCGTTGGTGCACGCTTTTGAAGCTTCAGGATCGTAAGTGAAGAGGGGCTCTCAGACGAAACGACACGTCTGGGGGTGCAACAGGGAAAGGGATGGAGGCCAGAGGTCTCCCCAGAGTTCAGAGCCCCACCCCCGCAGACCCAGAAAAAGGACCGACGCCCAAGACCTTGGATCCTCGAGCGCGCATCCTATCAAGAGAGTGCCCACCCCTCCTCCTCATCCTCATCATCATCATCATCATCATCATCATCATCATCATCATTCATCATCATCATCATCATCATCATCATCATCATCATCATCATCATCATCATCATCCTCATCCTCATCCTCATCCTCATCCTCATCCTCATCCTCCTCCTCCTCCTCCTCCTCCTCCTCCTCCTCCTCCTCCTCCTCCTCCTCCGCGCCGCCGCCCGCAGCGCATCCGCCCCTTTCCGAGGATCGCCCGCCCCGCGGCCGCCGGGGCGGCGGCAGTCCATCGTCGAACGGAGGGGCAGCGGGCGCGGCGGGGGCAGAGGGCAGTGTGAGTAGCGGCGAGGGCTGGAGGAGGAGCAGGGGGGGATAGAGAGAGAGGGGGTTCCTCCTCCTCCTGCTCCTGCTCCTCCTCCTCCTCCTCACCCCCCCCCCCCCCCGCTCCTCCTCCTCTTCCTTCTCCTCCTCCTCCTCCTCCCCTCTCTCCTCTCCTCCTCCTCCTCTCCTCACCCCCCCCACCCCCCCCCCCCCCCCTCCTCCTCCTCCTCCTCCTCCTCCTCCTCCTTTCCTCCTCCTTTTCCTCCTCCTCCCTCCTCCTTCTCCTCCTCCTCCTCTCCTCCTCCCTCCTCCTCCTCCTCCGCCCTCCTCCTCCTCCTCCTCCTCCTCCTCCTCCTCCTCCTCCTCCTCCTCCTCCTCCTCCTCCTCCTCCTCCCCTTCCCCCTCCTACTTCTCACCTCCCCTGGGGGGAGGGGGCACCATGTGTACGCTCGCGGCACATATGACGTCCTACCCTCCCCGCCCATCCCGTCTTGCTGCGCTAAACCATCTTCATGGCCTCTGCATCGCGCAGCGGTTCGAAGGGCAGTACATCGCTCAGGCGGGTCCAGGTTGACCTTCCAGCTTCCATGCCTTTGTATGTTCCTGGCGTTCCGTGGCCTTCTGCGCATCATGATGTTGACGAGGTGGAGTGTGCCGTGCGTCCGCGCGCGCACTCACGGCCGAGCGCTGCCACGCAGCAGGTGCGTTGGTGGGCTAGTTGGGCCCGAAGGGGCTTGAGAGGTTCGGCCAGATTGGGCTCGAAACCGTTCCGCTGCCACAATTGTGTTCGCGCGTCTCTTTGGCGACGACATTGCCATGGCTGGCCCCTGCTGGATGTCGAGCTTGGGCCAGCCTGGCGGCGCCAAGAGCTCTTTCGCCCACTGTTGGTGTGAGGGTGTGTGTGTGTGTGTGTGTGTGTGTCTGTCGGTCTGTCTGTCTGTCTGTCTGTCTGTCTGTCTGTGTGTCTGTCTGTCTGCCTGCCTGTCTGTCTGTCTGTCTGTCTGTCTGTCTGTCTGTCTGTGCTTGAGTGCGTGCGTGCGTGCGTGCGTCCGCCCGCGCGTGCGTGCGTGCGTGCGTGCGCCCGTGCGTGCGTGCGTGCGCGCGTGCGCGTGTATGTGTGGGTGTGTGTGTGTGTGGCTGTGTGTGCTTGTGGTCGTATGCGTGCTTGTGCGTGTGTTTGCGCCTGTGCTTGTGCGTGTGCGTGTGCGTGTGCGTGTGTTTGTGGTTGTACTTGTGTGTGTTTGTACGTTTGTGTGTGTTTGCGTGTGGTTCGTGTGTGTGTGTGTGTTTGTTATTGTGCGTGTGTTTGTGGTTGTGTTGGTGTTGGAGTGTGGTTGCGTTTGCATGTCAATGTGTGTGATTGTGCTTGTGTTTGCGTGTGTGTGTGTGTGTGCGTTTGTGTGTGTGGTGAATGTGTGTGGTTGTGCTTGTGTCTGTGTCTGTGCCTGTGTGCGTGGGTGGGCGTTGGTGTGTGTGTGTGTGAGCGAGTGAGTGAGAGTATGTGCTTGTGTGTGTGTGCGTGTGAGTTGGGGTCGGGGTCTGTGTCTGTGTCTGCGTCCGTGCGAAGTCTGCGGGGCGGGGGCAGGGGGGACGTTCCCGAACAAGGCAGCATCAGGGGCGAGAGGCGCCGTCGGGAAGCGATGACGACGACGATGACGACGATCGAGCCCTAGTAGGATGCTATTAAAGCTGGGCCGTGCCGTAGTAGGAGTCTGTAAGATCTGGATCGAGCCCCATAAGGATCCAATTAGAGCTGGATCCAGCCCTAGCATGATGCTATTCAAGCTGGACCGAAACCTTGTAGGATCCCATTAGAGATGGATCGAGCCTTAGTAGGATCCCATTAGAGCTGGATCTGGGCCGATATGATTTCATTAAGATTGGATCGAACTTTAGTAGGATTCACCTAACGCTGGTTCCAAAGATAGCCGGATTATCTGAGAGCTTGTGTCGAGCCTTACGAGGACGCGATCCAAGTTGGATCGCGCCTTCGTGGGATTGTATCAAAGTTGGGTCGAGCCCTCGCAGGATGCAAATAGAGCTAGATCCAGCCTTAATTCGGTTCTGTTAGAACTGGAAAGAGCCCTAGTAGGATGGTATGAAGGTTGGGTCGAGCACTAGCAGGCTTAAATTGTAGCTGGGTCCAGCTACAGTCGGATCTTATAAGAGTTTGATCGGCCCTTGTCGGATTCTAATGGGGGGAACGGGGGCCCCACCCCCAGTTGGAAAAGGGGGGTGACCCGGTTCGAGCCTTTCCTTGGCCAGGTCCGACGTGTAATAGGGATTTTTCTCGAGCGAGCGTCCACGAAACGCGTCTTTTTCAAAGATAGCGATGAGAGAGCGTGGGAAGCGGACGAACGAGGAGTGGTCGATAGGGAGGAGGCGACGCGGAATCCAGGCCGACTCTCTACATTGGGTTTGCACACACAAAACAGTTTCCCAGGCGTCCTCCTGTGTTGGATTCGCGTTTCCTCGCGTTGGGCAGAGCGATGTTGCTCCCGTCCTCCTCCTTCCGCCTCGCCCCTCCTGCCTCCACCACTCCTCCCTCCTGCCTTCCGTGTCCTGCCTGCCTCTTCCGCAGCCGTGCGGGCCCCCTGGGGAGTCCAGCGGAGCGGCGTCATGCGCAGACCCCAGCGAGACGCCGCCTCCCTGGGCGCTGCTGCTTGCGCAGCTGTCGGGCCGGACGAAAGGGGGGGATTGGGAAGGGGGGGGTACGAAATTTGCTGCATGCAGCTGGTTTCGGCCCCACATGGGCGCCTCCGGCGCCGGGAGGCGCCGGGAAAATCAGCTACGTGAGCTGATTCTCAAACCCCCCCTTTGCTATCCCCCCCTTTCGCCCGACCCGAAGCTGCCGCCGGTCGGAGCGGTGCCCTGTGCACGTCCAGGTGGGGCCTCGCCTCCGCGGGCGCCGGGCCACGGGACAGCCGTGGCCGCCGCTCGTGGGCCCCGCAGGTCCGAGCGAGGCCTCGCCTCCCCGGGCGCCGCCAACCGCGCCGCGGGAAGTCGCGCTCGTGGGCCCCTCCGGGAGGTCCAGCGTCAAGTCGGGCGTGTCCCCCTACAGGGGGACCTTCGACGAAAAATAAAAAAGACCCAACAAAGATTCAGAAATGGCCAAGACATATGCAAAAAATAGTCCCCAGACCATTTGTGGATTCTGGTTTGACTATTTGGGGGGTATTTTTCCCTACCTAGGCTCTGCCTAGAGGGTTCTTACTCTCTTAGCTTAAAGGGGCCGGGCAGTGTAAACCGCCCCGGGCGGTTCCCCCAGTCCCCGCCCCGCGGTTCCCCCAGTCCCCTGGGAGCTTTAGCCTTAGCTTTAGCTTTAGCTTAGCTTTAGCTTTAGCTTTAGCTTTAGCTTAGCTTTAGCTTAGCTTTAGCTTAGCTTTAGCTTAGCTGTAGCTTAGCTTTAGCTTAGCTTTAGTTTAGCTTTAGCTTAGCTTCTGCTTAGTGTTAGCTTAGCTTTAGCTTAGCTTTAGCTTAGCGTTAGCTTAGCTTTAGCTTAGCTTTAGCTTAGCTTTAGCTTAGTGTTAGCTTAGCGTTAGCTTAGCTTTAGCTTAGCTTTAGCTTAGCTTTAGCTTAGATTTAGCTTAGCTTTAGCTTAGCTTTAGCTTAGAATTAGCTTAGAATTAGCTTAGCTTTAGCTTAGCTTTAGCCTAGCTTTAGCTTAGCTTTAGTTTAGCTTTAGTTTAGCTTTAGCTTAGCTTTAGCTTAGCTTCATCTTAGCTTTAGCTTAGCTTCAGCTTAGCTTCAGCTTCGCCTTAGCTTAGCTTCAGCTTAGCTTTCGCTTAGCTTCAGCTTAGCTTTAGCTTAGCCTTTGCTTAGCTTTAGCTTAGCTTTAGCTTAGCTTCAGCTTAGCTTCAGCTTAGCTTTAGCTTAGCTTTAGCTCAGCTGTAGCTTAGCTTTAGCTCAGCTTTAGCTTAGCTTTAGCTTTAGCTTTAGCTTAGCTTTAGCTTAGCGTTAGCTTAGCTTTAGCTTAGCTTTAGCTTAGATTCAGCTTAGCTTTAGCTTAGCTTTAGCTTAGCTTTAGCTTAGTGTTAGCTTAGCCTTAGCTTAGCTTTAGCTTAGATTTAGCTTAGCTTCAGCTTAGCTTTAGCTTAGCTTCAGCTTAGCTTTAGCTCAGCCTTAGCTTAGCTTTAGCTTAGCGTTAGCTTAGCTTCAGCTCAGTGTTAGCTTAGCGCTTTAGCTTAGTGTTAGCTTAGCTTTAGCTTAGCTTTAGATTAGCTTTAGCTTAGCTTTAGCTTAGATTTAGCTTAGCTTTAGCTTAGAATTAGCTTAGCGTTAGCTTAGCTTTAGCTTAGCCTTAGCCTAGCTTTAGCTTAGCTTTAGTTTAGCTTTATCGTAGCTTTAGCTTAGCTTCATCTTAGCTTTAGCTTAGCTTCAGCTTAGCTTTAGCTTCGCCCTAGCTTAGCTTTAGCTTAGCTTTTGTTTAGCTTCAGCTTAGCTTTAGCTTAGCTTTAGCTTAGCTTTAGCTTAGCTTTAGCTTCGCTTTAGCTTAGCTTTAGCTTAGCTTTAGCTTAGCTTTAGCTTCGCTTTAGCTTAGCTTCAGCTTAGCTTTAGCTCAGCTTTAGCTTAGTGTTAGCTTAGCCTTAGCTTAGCATTAGCTTAGCTTTAGCTTAGCTTCAGCTTAGATTTAGTTTAGCTTTAGCTTAGCTTTAGCTTAGCTTTAGCTTAGCTTTATCTTAGCTTTACTGTTACTAATAATGCTGCTTTCCTGGGGGCTCCAACTCCTAGGTAGGGTCGCACTGGGATATTTTGTTTTGTTTCGTCGAAAATCCCCCCGTAGGGGGACAGGCCCGACCTGACGTGAGCCCCGCAGATCCTAGTGTTGGAGCTTCGAGCGGATTTCTTGGATCGACGTTGGCCCCCATTGGCGGCGCTTCCTCCACAGCCCTAGGCGCGCTCCGCGCGCAAGGCAGGATAGTTCAGCACAGATCCAAGCAGTTCGCGCGGAGCTCTGAAAGATTATGGTTATGCTTGGATGTTCTCTTGTGACTGTAGCATATGCTCAGCCTGCCGCGGGAGCAGATGTGCAATGGCATGAACGGGTTGCACAGTTAAGGAAACGGAGGATCCGACGGAAGGGTGCAGATACGGAGTCGAAGATTGTGCTTTCTGTTTTGCAGCTGGCAGCAACAACATCTATATTGTGGTAACGTTTGGACCGACAGTGCTAGACACAGTTGCCTGATACGCCCCGACTTGTGTGCAGAAGCAATGCCTCCTCCCGCTACGTTTCCTCCTCGTCCTACTCAGCGTCGTCATCGTCGTCGCCATCATCAGCAGACGCAGCATGATTATCGCAATCATAATCATCATCATCATCATCACCACCATCATCATCATCGTCAGTATCATCATCATCATCATCATCATCATCATCATCATCATCATCATCCTCATCCTCATCATCTTCATCATCTTCATCATCATCATCATCATCATCATCATCATTATCATCATCATCATCATCATCATCATCATCATCATCATCATCATTATCATGATCATCATCATGGTCGTCATGGTCACTATCATCATCATCATCATCATCATCATCATCATCATCATCATCATCATCATCATCATCATATTGACCGTCATCATCATCAACATCATCATGACCGTCAGCATCATCATCATCAGCATCGTCATCGGCATCGGCATCAGCATCATCATCATCATCATCATCATCATCATCATCATCATCGTCATTATCGTCATCGTCATCATCGTCATCAGCATCAGCATCAGCATCAGCATCAGCATCATCATCATGGCCACCACTATCATCGACATCAACATCATGACTATCATCTGATGGCCCCCAGGCCCGAACACGCGGTCCGTCGAGGCTGGCATCGAGGAGAAGCCACCAGTGGCAGGAAACATAGCATCGGAGATCTGGGTCCCCGTCCTCTCCTCTCGCCCTTCCTCCGCCCCGGATGGGGCCGCGGCCAGGCTTGCAGCGGCTATGCCCCGTCCAGGGGGACTGCTGGAGGCGCTGGCGAAGCGCGGCATTTTCGGGAGCGCCGCCGCTTGGGGTTGGGGCATCCTCCCTTCTTCTCTCTCCTCAGCTCGCTCGAGGCTCAAGGATTCGCCGATAAAGAAAGGCTGTGCAAACGCCTGCTGTTGCGGAGCCCCGCGCGGATTTCCGGGATCGGCGCGGATTTCCCCCTGGCGGTGCCTTGGGCGCCGCCCCAGCAAGAGATCCGATTTGGAAGATGACGACATTGGGGGCTCGGGTACACCGTCCCGCTCATGCCCGAAAGCGCCTCTTGCATCCGGGGGGGCCAGATGGAGCATCAGGGCTGGGCCTAAACGCTGTTTTGCTGCACTTCGGCTGTGTTTTGTCTTCCGTTTTTGGCAGGGAGGTGCAGGAGAACAGGTCGAACAAAACGAGCAACGTAACGAAGACAAAACGAAAAACAGCGTTTAGGTCCAGCCAGGTGGAACATCACCCTGGCATGTTTCCGGTGTGATTATCCATATGGGGCCCTTTCGAGATGGGGGCGAGGGCCGAGCTGCGAGAAAAGGCGTCCCAACAAAAAGACTCGATGTTGGGAATGACGATTTTGGGGCCTCGGGTACACCCCCTGCTTATGGTGGAGGCGTTTGCGAAGGAATAGGCCCTGGAGGCGCCAGACCCTGGAGGATTCCTTAGCTGATGAGGGCGGCGGTGATATCCATGGCCCATCCACGATTGGCTTTCCACTGGCTTCCAGGCCCTGGATTCCTTATCGAAGGTTTCCTTGTCCAATCCCCTCACCGCGCTGGTGAGCGCCCCCCTCCTCGGCCGCCGCGGGGCCCGCCGCAGTCCCGCGCCGTTTGCGCGGGCGAGCGGCAGCGCCCGTGAATTCGTGGCATGACCACGCGGGTGCTTGCGCCCGCTCGAAGAGTAAAAAAAATCCCCTCACCGCATCACCGAGAGCGCCTTCTGGGGAAGACCACCCTGGATCTGCTCGGGGCTGACTTTTGTCCGTGCGGGGCGCGCCCTGGATTGGGCGGGGGGGGGGGCCGAGCCGCGGGAAGCGAGAAGAGGCGCCGCAAAGAGATTTCTAGGAAGGAGAGGACGACTTCGGAGGCTCGCGCACGCAGCCCCGCCTATCCCCGCGAGCGTTTTTTGCATTGGGGTGGGACCAGACGGAAGAGCACCCTGGAACGGCTCCGGTGTGATTTCCAGGCTGGGGCGCTTCCCAGATTCCGCTGGGTGGCCAGCCGAGAGAAAGGGTTCCTGAATGAGAGATTCGCTTTAGAAAATATCGGCTTCGGGGGCACGGGTACACCCCCCCGCTTATCCCCGAGAGCGCATCTTGCAGTTGGAGGGGGGCCAGATGGAGAATCACGCTGGAACGGTTCCGCTGCGATTTTCCATCTGGGGCGCTCCCGGGATTGATTGGGCTTGGGGGCCGAGCCGCGAGAAAAGGCTCTCCGGTAAGAGATCTGATGTGTAAAAATCGGCGTTGGGAGTTCGGGCCCCAGCCCCCGCTTATCCCCGAGAGCGCCTTTTGCATTGGGGGCGGGGGCAGATGGAAAGTCACCCTGCAACGGTTCTGGGGTGATTTTCCATGTGGGCCGCCCCCGAGATTGGGCTGGGGGCGCGAGCTGAGAGAAAAGGCTCCCCAATAAGATATTCGATCTGGAGAACAACATCTTTGAGGGCTCAGGTACACCGCCCCGCTTATCCCAGGGAGCGCCTCTCGCACTGGGGGGGCCCAGACGGGAAATCACCCCAGCTGTGGCGCGTCCGAGATTGGGCCGGGAGGCCAAGCCGCGAGAAAAAGGCTCCCAGACAAGAGATGCGGTTTGGAAATTCACTACTTTGGGAGCACGAGTACAGCCCCCCAACTTACGAGAGCACCTTTTGCATGTGGGGGGGCCCAGATAGGGAATCATGTTGGAATGGTTCCAGGGTGGTTCTCCATTTGAGGCACTCCCGACCGAGATTCAGCTGGGAGGTCGAGCAGCGAGAAATGGCTCCATAAAGGATTCGCTGTGGAACATGACGACTTTGGCGATTCGGGCACACTGCCCCGCTAATCCCCGAAAGCGCCCTTGTGCACCTGTGGGGTCCCAGATGGAAAATCGTCCTGGACTAGTGCCGGTGCGATTCTCCATCTGGGGCGTTCCTGAGATTGGGCTGGGGGGCGGAGCCGCGAGAAAGGGCTCCCCAGTAAGAGGTTCTATTGGGGCTACGGCGACTCCGAGGGCTCGGGCGCGCCGCCCCGCTTATCCCCGAGAGCGCCTTTTGCATTGCGGGAGTCCCAGATGGACGATAACTGTCCAGATGGAGTTCTCCCGAGATTCAGCTCGGGGGATCAGCCGAACATATATATATATATATATGCATACATATACATAAACATATACATATACATGTACATATACATATACATATATATATATATATATATATATATATATATATCCAACAACCTTCCTCATGAGGGTTGTTGGAGGGCTTCTCCCATAAAACCTTCGACAACACTTTCTCCAGGAAGGCTGTTGGAGGGCTGCCTCGAAAAACCTTGCGAAAGCTGTCCTCGGGACGACGACGACGATGACGACGACGACGACGACGACGACGACGACGACGACGACGACGACGACGACGACGACGACGACGACTGCGAGCGCCACAACACATTTGTGAGCACCAATGTGTGCCGTTCGGACCACGCCATGCCTGTGAGCACAGCGCCATGCTTGCAGGGGGTCCACTCCCAGCATGTAGGGGGGGCGGGGGGGGGGGGGCCAGGCCCCTCCCCCCACACAGCACGATCGTTAGCGTTACCCGGGGGGGGGGAGGGTTGGCCCGGGTAACGAGCGTTACGCCGGAGAAGAATAACAAGCGCTCACTATGACCACGGAAGGCCCTAGACGATCTACAGGCCTAGTATTATTGCTGCGCCTGTTCGGAGTTGTTCCCAACCGTCTTGTCCTCTGTCCTCCTTCATCTTTCGTGTTTTTTCACGCGCGTCCTCCTGCTCATCGCCACCTCCTCCACCAACGCGCACAGCTCCCGTTCTCATATGGCGCGCAGCACGATGGGGCCCTTTCGGGCGTTCCAGGTCCTTTGCGACACCAGTCGGCGGATACAGAACAGTCAGGGCAATGGGAAGGCAGGGGTGGGAGGGGCAGGATGTCAGATATGGTGCGGGCGCACCCAGCTCGACTCTCTCTCTCTCTCTCTCGCTTTCTTTCGCTCTCGCTTCCCCGAGCCCCCCCCCCCCTCATCCCCACGCCCCTTCGGGAGGGAGAGTTGCGGAGGAAAGGCGCAGGGAGGAGGGAGGGAGCCTCTCCTTCCTCCCCCCCCTCCTCTCTGCCTCCCCTCCCTCGTCCACGATTCGCCCCCCATCGCCCCCCTCCCCGCGCCCCCCGCCCCCGCCGCCACCCCGCGCGCGCGGGAGAGCGCGAGTGGGGGAGGAGGACGGAGGTCGGGGGAGGACGGGGAGGAGCAGGAGGGAAAGTTGAGGGGGAGTTGGAGGAGGAGAGGGCAGAGGAGGAGGAGCACGGAGAAAGAGGGCAGGACCTTGAGATCCGACTTCGCGAAGCCAGCAAAACATACCGTTTTCGTGAAACATTTTTCGGGTTGGATCAATATTCGAGGGCCCTGGGGCCCGAAGACGCACGTTGTTAAATATTGCAAGGCCGGGATCTCAGGCAAGGAGGATACGTAAAGACAGTAAGAGGAGCGAACAAGGAGAAAGAGGAGGAGGCGGAGGAGGAAGAGGAGGAGGAGGAGGAGGAGGAGGAGGTGGAGGGCCCCGTCCCCCCGCCTCCTCTGTCCCACGCCCTCCAGAGCAGGAGGACGAGGAAAGGGGAGAGGACGACAACGACGGGACGAGGACGAGGACGAGGATGATGATGATGAGGAGGAGGAGGAGGAGGAGGAGGAGGAGGAGGAGGAGGACGGAGAGTCCGTAGCCATTTGGCTCAAGCCGTTGCCTGGGGCGTTCGCCTTCCCTGGGTTGGGGCTCAAGGTGGTCGAGGGGCCCGCAAGGTCCTCGATCAGTGGCCCTGCCCAGGGTGAGGGTCTTAATCTCACGATGTCCATGTCTTGTTTTGGCACTCGCTACGCAGGAGCAGGACCCGATTTCCCGCGCCAGCCCCCGGCAGTCTCAGCGATGGCGTGGGGACAGTCCTGGAACCATGCGAGTGGTAAGGACCGAGGCGCAGAGGTGGAGAGTGACCAGGGCAAGCCCAAGAACGCAGGCAAAGGCGCCCACGCGTGGCATTGTCAGCATTGCGGGTGCAAGAAGACTCCATGGTCGCAATGGTATTGGAAGCATTGTAAGAAGTTATGGGAAGAACCAGTCCGAGGAGAAGAGGAGTGTTTTACTTTGGATGCCTACGACAGGCCAGCAGGGCTGGCACCGCGGGCGGCGGGCCTGCAGCCCCCGCCTCGAGTCACGAGCCAGGAGCTTGAGCTGTTAGGCGAAAAGGTCGACAACCTGGTCGCGGTCGCGGGTAAGCTCGGAGACGGGGCCCTAGAGACCAAGTTCAAGTCCATCCGTGAGTACAAGAAGCGGCTCGCCATGGAGTTGAGGGCCCTGGCTCTACAGGTACAGGCCCAGCAGGCACATCAGAAGGTGCAGCTTTTCGAGGCCAAACTCAAGCTGGAGGTCATCAGGTACGATTACATTCAGAACACGTTGCGTGAGCAGACCAGCCTCGTGCAGTCCCTCTCCGAGGAGCTGGAGGGTGCGGACAACCAGTGCAAGAAGCTGCTGGACAACCTGCACACCAACGTAGTCGGCGCGAAGAGCGGCCCGCCGCCCCGCATCCCGTTGTCCAAGCTGCTGGAGGGAGATCTCACGTGCTTCGACCTCGGGGAGTGCGAGACGCTCTTCGGCCTCGTGGACCCGACGTTGCACGAGGTGTCGGGGCAAGATCGGCCGGGGGCCACGCCGCGCAAGGAGAATATGCAGAAGGGGATTGCTGGCTCGGCGAAGACCTTGTTCGGCTCGGCGCGGGGCCGCAAGCAGGAGCCTGAGGATCACGTCAAGCGGATCCCCGCCAAGAAG